ACATTTTTATGAAGTGCTTGGACCTATTTGATTTAAAGCAATCAGAGACAAGTTTGGACGAGCAGGGGCCCTCAGCGACAGCGAGGCCTTCGCAGCCATTGTACAGACTCTGCCTATGCCTTAAATAAAAACACCCATTGATTCATTTCCACAGCCCGCACTTTTATTATTGCACTCATTAATAAACCCAAAGTGCCCAACTAATAATATACAAGTAACATTTAATGAGGAACTGGTGAGTTGGGTTTTTTTTTTTTTCTTGTAGTAAAACAAAAACATTTACTGGAATCATGAACCACAGTGCATAAAAAATACATCAGTCGATAATGTGACATAGATCACTTGTTCCTCTATCATTTTCTAGAAAAGCAAAATGGGAGGGAGGGAAGTAGGGAAGCCACAGCTCCCTATGTTGGAAGGCAAAGATTAAGAAACCATGGGGAAGGGGCTGTGGAGACGGTTCAGCAAGCGTAGGGACCTGAGTTTGAAACCCAGTGCTCACATAAAACCCAGGAGTAGCAGAGCACCAATGACCTCAACACTACGGGTCAGCGACAGTCAGATCCTTGGAACTGGCTGGCTTGCCAGCTGGGCCAGGTTGGTGAAAAAACCCTGTCTCTAAGAATAAGGTAGGGTCCAGTGAGACGGCTCAGCAGGCAAAGGCACAACTTGCCATCAACCGATGATGACCTGAGTTCAAATCCCAACAGTTGTCCTCTGACCTCTACACACAGACTGTGATATAGACAGACAGACACGCACACACACACATACACACACACACACACACACACACACACACACACACACACACACACACACACAGACACATATACACACACACGGAGAGAAATGAGAGGAAGGGGCAGAAGTCGAGGAGGAACGGTCCCAGTGGTTCTGACTCAGCTCTGGAAGGCTTTAGAAATTCGCCACGAAGTTCTGACCTCCCTCAACTTCCCAAGCTTTTCCTGAAAATGGCGGCCCTTCACCAAAGCAGGCAGCCGTTTCCTCTGTGGCCACGCAGCCTGTGACTGACAAGAACGGAGGATCGCGATCATACAGCTTCAGCAAGAGGCCAGCCCCTTCTTTAGTCAGAGCCCCTGAACTGATCTTAGTGTCCTCTGTCCTTCTCTGGGGAAGCAGTTAAAGAGCAGACATACAAAGCAGCATGTCCCAGCCTCTTCCCCAGACTGTGGCCCTGGGGATTATTGGTGATTCCTTAAAGGGCACTGTCCTGGTTTCCTTTCTACTGCTGTGATAAAACTGGGACCAAAAGCAACTTGGGGAGGAGAGAGTTTCTTTGCCTTGCACATTCAGATCATAGCCCATCATCGAGGGAGGCCAAGGCAGGAACTCAAGGCAGGAACTCAGAAGCAGGAACTGAAGCAGGGGCAAGGAGCAATGCATGCAGCTTACTGGCTTGTTCTGTGGAGCTTGCTTATTTAACTTTTTTCATACAGGAACTATCACCCACGGGTGAGTCCTCCTGTGGCCTGGGCCCTCCACATCAGTCAATCAAGAAAATGCCCCACAGATCTGCCCATAGACAATCCAGAGAAGGCAGTTCCCAACAGAGAACTCCTCTTTCCAGAAAACTAACTGTGTCAAGTTGCCAAAACCCAACCAGCGTAACCATGACTGGTTTAAGAGAGTGGGTAGTGATGTATGCCTAGTCTGCATTAGAAGCAACATCTTCGAATATTGTGAGCTAACTATTAATAATTGCTAATTGTCCACGACATTCTTTGTGACCGATCACAGGTCCACAGCAGTCTAGATAGCAAAAACCTATGAGTGAGGAAAGGCCAAGAGCTTGCAATCAGTGCAGAACAGGCACGCACTACCCTGGGCTGCAGGCCCTGCATGCTCCTGCTGGTGTGGCCAGACACAGGTCAGAACTTTCTGTGGTAGGGCTCACCCTGACAACAACACCACAAGCTTTCATTCTAGACTCTGCTTTCTTTCAACAGTCCCAGAAGCCCTTGAACATGGACAGTCAGTTTTGAGGTCCCCAGAGCTCTTCCCTGAAGTCAAAGAGTAGCAGTGATGTTTGGGTGGCTCCCTCTAACTCCAACTCTTCCAAGCACATGCCTGAAACTTGTGGGTAGAGCCAGCCCAACCTTTCTCTAGTCCCATCCCAGGGAACATGTAGGGTTTCGTCAATGCTTTTATACCAATTCTTGAGGCCATCCCCCACTGCTGAGGCCATCCCCCACTGCTGAAGCCATCCCCTACAACCAATTCTTGGTGCTGAAAACTTAATATGGCTTTCAATCTACTCACTGCACCCTAACTCAAGCACTGACCAAAGACGTTCTAGAATTGGAAGAATATATAATGCCTCTCGAAAAAGGTAATCCAATGGGAGATCAAATCTTTGCAGAATGTCTAGACTGATCCTACAAATTCAGAATGAAAAGAAATTTCAAACACGTTTCATAGTGGGTTGTAGTCGCTGGGGCTTTCCAAATTGACAGTTTACATCATTTGGAAATCTTCTACTCTTAGAAATGGTAAATCAATAAATGAAGTACATTGCTTTCAGAATTAACATTCACCTCTGTGGCTACTTCTACTGACAAAACCTCTTGAGTAAAAAACACACACACACACACACACACACACACACACACACACACACACACACGCACGCGTGCGCGCACAGTGGTTGGAGACACAGTTTAGCAATTAAGAGCACCAGTTGCTCTTCCAGAGGACCTGGGTTCAGTGCTCAGCACCCACATGGTAACTTTTAACTGTAACTCCTGTTTCAGGGGATCCAACTCTATCTTCTGGTCTCTGCAGGCTCCTCCACACATGTTAAGAGGCAAAATTCCCACGAGCATCATTAAAGAAAAATGAAACACACACACACACACACACACACACACACACACACACACACACACACAACTCAATCCTTCCTCTCCCTCCCAATTCTTATCTACTTTTGACCATGTGACGCCCTATAAAATTCACTTAATTATGGTGCTCATTTTTCAAGAAGGTAAGCTATGTGACTCCTTTCGGCAGTTTTATTTGTCATTGGGTCCTTTTAAGATTAATGGTTCAGGCGCTGGGAACTTTCGAAGCAGAGAAAAGTGTATTTTTATGTTTCTAACGCCATGATTTGATTAGAGGCTCCTAAACCAAAGATAAGTAGGTTATGGTAGCCTCCAGCACTGTGGGCAGAGCCCTCGCCTGGGGAGATATTGTACCGGGGATCAGCTGCCCAGTACAGTGGGTAACAAGAATGTGTGGGCTTTGGTGTTAAGAACTGAGAGGAATCACAGTCACATTTATATAAAAAACAGTGCTACCAAGAGCTGTAATTTGAACATCTATTATTGATGTTTAAGAATCCTTCTGGATTATAACAGGACCAAAGCAATCTCTTGGGAATGCTACGGGGAAAATTTTCATGAGGTACTAAACCCAACTCAGTTTACTCCTATTATTCTAAAATAAGCATTCTAACGTTTGTTAACTGGCTACTTAGTTACGTAAGATACGGATAAACACAGCCCTGGACTTCAAAGAAAACATGGTGAACACCTACTGTGTGAGGGGATTTATGAAGGATGCTGTATGTGATCCACAGTGGGAGTCATGGACGTAGGGTAAAAATAGCTTGGTAATGGACCATGAGAAAAGCAATCAGCAAATTGAATATTAGCACTTTGACTTTTTACCAGCATGTTAACCGCCCTGTTCCGCTTAACTCGGTGAATCTTGACTTCAGTGTATGCAATAGATACAATTAAAACACATTCAAAATCTTCATCCGGCCTCTACATATGCATGGATGTATATGTGCATGCTCACACAGACACAGACACAGACACACACACATACATACATACACATACACTCCTCTCTGGTTGAACTCTCCGGCTCTGGATCTAAAGCCTGGGTGCTTCATGAGGTAGATACACTTTTTCTCACTCATGTCCTCTTGTCAGGGTATTTTATGACAGCCGCAGGAAAGGAAACTAAGACAGAGCCATAGAGGAAGAACTCTGAGTTGACCTCTGGCTTTCACACCAACTATACACACGTGTGCACACTTCTTCACACACACAGACATGTGCACACATTGCCTATTCCCTCCCCACTTCTATAGGGCAGTAGCAGTTGTAAGGAAGCTGGTACAACCTAAGCATTAAGTACGGGCTTGAAGGATGACGCAAACATCATTCAGGAATTTGCTGCCATTTCTCAGCAGTGTGGACATACTGTCTTTATCACAAAGTGTGCATACGCATAAGCATGCATGTATGTGTGTGTGTATGCTCAAGCATGTGTGCCTGTGGGTGTTTGTGTGTGCTGGGGGGAAGACAGACAGAACGGGACAGACGGGATTGACGGGACATGACTCCTATCCACAGAGCCGTCCCCAGAGGCTCTGCTGTATTCTTTTTTGGTCATATTATCAGTATTTTTCCGAAACAGTCAGAGATTCTGAGAAAACCAAACCATGCAGAATTGGGTTCGAAATTTTCTTAATAAAAGAAAGCATACCTTTAAGTGAAAAAAATTATAACAAAGTCATGGAAAAGAAAAACACACAGACATTATCCCAGGCAGTACTGTTGTGCTGAGGAATGCCTACTCTCCAGTGCTCCATCACACATGAACCTCATGGTAACATTTCCCATCTTTGTTTTCCAGGAGGCAAAAGATCTCATGGTAAACGAGACTCCTGAGAACATCCCTAGCAATCCACACTTGTTGGGGGAAGGGCACTGCCAGACAGGTGGCCACAAGACAAAACCTAAGTAAAGGCACATCTAATTTTAGTCTGGGTAACCAGAGAACATGCCATGTAAAGGAGAATGCCAGGGTGTTGGGGGCAGTTGGGGGAAGGTATTTTCTGTCTTCCCAAAGGTCCTTTGGATTTCCTCTATCTTGTCTTTGTCCGGAGTCGTCTTCTAATTAACACAGTTTTGATTAAGAAAGGATTTTTTTTTTTTTTTTTTTTGCAGGAGACGGCCTCTTACCTTTCGTAGTGTCTGCGAGTACAAGTGGCCGCGCTGGTGCTCCCGGGGTTACCACCTAACTCGTCATAAATATGTTTCCATTGACGGCGGGCTGTTATCTGAAAAGATGGTAATGAGAGATTCAATCTAGCATCATGAGAGAGTCGGAGCACCAGGCTCATAGATAGGCAACATTCAGAAGAGAACGGACATCCCGAAACAGAGGCTCCAGTGAGTTTAGGGGGGAAAATAATGACTTTCAAACAAGATCTCTTACTTAACAGTTAAAAAAAGGGGGGGGGGCTTCCGACTTTGGTGCTGTTTGCTCTGCTAGCTTCATCTAAGGCACACCCACCCCCAGCTATTCATACGGCTGTCTGCTCCCAAGGTCCCAAACACACACCCTATCCCTTTATGCTATGTGATACAGTACAAAATAAAGTCCCATTTCAACTGCACTGGATGCCAGTTCAGCAGCTTGAAAGGATCGCAGTAGACACTGACAGCCTGAAGCTGGTGGATGGAGGTGGGTGGCCAGCCACACTCCTTAGAGAAAATATTGTTTCACCAAACATGCTCAAGTGTCTTCTGATTCTTTGAACCATATACAACGTGCTTCCAGCTTAAAAAAACAAAAAACAAAACACTAATAAAATGACCACATAGATTAATAAAAGTGATCAGATCGGTAGAAGAATTTATAGCCATCTCCACTTCCGCCCACCACCAAAACAAAGCCTGAATCTGGAAGCGTACCTATCAAATCTGTTTTTATTCACATGGAGCAGGAAAGTGGGATATTAATCGAATCTCACAGAAATGAACATACTCCGAAGTTGAAATGTTCACTGTGTACACTATTGAGTTGGGTGAGTAAAAACGACACAACAAGCAATATCCTGCCCTGCACGGCGTGGCCTTCTTCTATTTTTATTCTTAAATTTTACATTTGTACACAGATTAGGGTATTGCAAAATAACGGACGCACGATCTGGCTGTTGGGTGTTTGGGGAGGAAACGGCACGGCTTCCCTACCACACTAGGCCCGCTTAGTGTTCCTTGGAAAGTAGGAGCGCAGGACAAGTTCCACAGTCTGTGTGGACATTCCTAACCAGGGTTTAGCAAAGAGGCTGCTGTTGGATGTGTAGAGAGGACAGGGCATGGGAAGGTGCCAGCGGGGTTTAATACAAACAGGGTAGAAGGCTTCCTTCTACCTTCTAAAAATACCGCTGTATGAAGGAAACATGAACCCTGGAGGAAATCTTCAGTCTACAACGTATGCTGTGCTATCAGTTCTAACCTATTTCTAAAATAGCAAAATGGCATCTTTGCCATTTTTTAATAAAAGAAATTCCCTTTTTCCTTAAAGTCCGTTATAGGCCCAAGTAAGACCTCCAGACAATGTGAAGTCTTACACTGTTCAGTTAGTGTCTCATGAAGTTGTCTTAGTCATTTGACTTCACCATACAGGGCCACCCATTACACACACCAGCAGGGACAAAGATGTAAAGTCCTTATCTGTTTGGTTTAGAGTCCTTGGTTTAGAATCCAGCTCCGCTCATGACACTCCAAACACAGTAATTGTTACACGTATAATGGCAATCGCCATCCATTTGTAAACAGTACAGTCTTGGGCTGATCTATTCTTAGGCTATCAGTCCCCACCCTCACCACCAAAAAAAGGCACAGTTCCTTTCCTCAAAAGTGCCTGGGACTGCCGGGCGGTGGTGGCGCACGCCTTTAATCCCAGCACTCGGGAGGCAGAGCCAGGCGGATCTCTGTGAGTTCGAGGCCAGCCTGGGCTACCAAGCGAGTCCCAGGAAAGGCGCAAAGCTACACAGAGAAACCCTGTCTCGAAAAAAACCAAAAAAAAAAAAACAAAAACAAAAAACAAAAAAGTACCTGGGACCAAGGCCCTGATTTACACGAGGGGAGCGCACAGAGTGCACCTGGGACCCTAGTAACAGCTTGAATGTATTCCTGTCATAGCATCAGAAGCAGTTCCCACCCTGGTCACTGGCACAAACTGCGTTTTACAGTTGATGATGAACAGTGTGTGCTTCTATTGACTCTTCCCGTATCTCAGGAGACAGGTGTTGGGGTCTCACAGGTAAAGGGACTGAGATTCGGGAAGGATGCACCGATTGTCTAAAGTCACCCAGCACAGGAGTAGTAAACCCAGATAAATACAGTTGCGTTCTGGTACCAAGTGTAAACTGTTTTACACACATGTGCATGCACACAGACACACACACACAGATATTTACTCATACAATTTTACACACACACACACACACACACACACACACACACACAGAAATATACTCACACAATCACACACACACACATAAATACATTTACTCACACAATTACATCTTTGTACTATTATCAGAATGATCTGAGAAACAGCCCATGCTGGGGATGAAGGCTTTTCCTGAGTCCTCAGCCTCTGGGTTTGGGCCAGCAAGAATCCAAGGGTGACGTTAACAGTGCTTTCTGATTTTCCGTTCTCTTATGTTCTGAAGTTAAATGGTGCTCTCTGTCTTGACCCTTTGTCTTTCTCCAGATAGAACAGAGGGACTATGCTATTCTCACTACTGAGTCTTTTTTTTTTTTCCCTTGGGTTGTATTTCTCTATCACTCCAAGGAACTCATTTAAGATGCTGGGGATTCGGGACATGGCCATCTACCTCCACTGCCTCCCATTATAGGACAGCATTGGGTATAGAAAGTGATGGGAGGTAGAAATGGGAAGGAGAGCAGAGGGCAGATGAGATCAGGGGCAGATAAGGCTTTCAGGGTTCCTAACTTAATGGGCAGCCTGAGGCCAGACTGCCGCAGAGGATAGTAAACTGAGCAGGCTACATCCCAGTGCAAGAAGTAATCTGGACACATGTGACAACCTCACTCTGAAGATGGCTGAGAGTCACTTCTTTCTCCAGTGTAGGTACAACCCAAGGGACGCTGGAAAGGACACCACCACACCCATTCAATTCAGCAAAAATTCGTGGCTGTCACGTATGGGTTTCTGAAGTGACCTTTAGAACCCAGATGCCATCTTACGAGTTCTCTATGTGGCCATTCGTCTGGGAAACCAGGGCTAATGAGCGGAAAGGAAGCTATCCCTCCCTTCCTCGGTTTTATTGAGGAAACTATCCTGCTGTTCCAAGAATATTTGGGGAAGGAGTACGGAGACATAGGTCAGTCAGTAAAACACTTGCTCTTAAGCATGAGGATCCAAGGTCCTCCTCTAGAACGTCCAGGGAAAAAGCCACAGGAGGAAGTTCATTCTTGTAACTCCAGCACTGGGGAGGTAGGGATGGGTGGATCCGGGCGTAGGGATGCTCACTGGCCAGCCAGTCTAACCTACTTGGTAATACCAAGGCCAGTGAGAAACAATGTCTCAAAAATAAAACAACCACCACAAGAACTCCTCCGCCCCCGCCCCCCACCCCCCCAGAAAAAAACCAAAACCTCAACAGTGACAAGCAGTCTGTCATCTGGACATGATATGGTCATTTCATTCATTCATGACCTCACACCAGCTCTGGTTCCTGCACAAGACCTATGCAGGATGAAGCCAACAAGCTCAGTCAACATTCCAGGAGATGTTTATTGGATTCAGTGAGTTACAAAACAAAATCCGCTACCAACAAAACAAAGCAAATAAAAAACCAAAAGAATACTCACACACACACACACACACACACACACACACACACACACACACACACAAGACATGAAGGGGGTGCCTGCAGGAAGTGGAAGTGGGGAGCTGGGGGTAGATACATCAAATATATTGTTTACATGCATTAGATTGTGAAAGAGTAAATCAAAGATATTCTCATTGAAAAAAAGGTGGAAGGCATCTGAAGATTGACATCTAAATTGTTTTATACACATGTGCATGCACAGACACACACACAGATATTTACTCACATAATTACACACACACAGAAATGTACCCATACAATCACACACACACACACACACATTTTAGAATAGTCACGTTTTAAAGCACAAATCCTTGGAACTCTTTCATTTCTCTACCTTTAGGTCAAAAGGATGAAATCAAGCTGGCATCTGGGGGTCTAGTGAAGAAGACAGAATCAGAAGCTTTTGTGGACTTGTGTTTTCCCAGTGGCTTAAGAATGGGAAGTCAGTACAAAGTCAAGGGAATCGCATGCATGCACCTAGCGTTGCTCAGGCTGCCCGAGCTTTGTCTGGACACCTTGAGGGCAGGCTGTACTCAAGGAGGATGACTTTTTTTTTTAATTCCTGGTAGTACTCCAGGAACTGAAGCCGCTCAAAATGACATGACATCATCTTTGGCCTAGACAATTCTGAAGTAAAGCCCAAGGCTTTATGTGTCCAGAATACTAGGCTTAGAGTCAGAGGATGTCTTCAAATTGATGTCAGAGCCAGAATCTGATGTCAGAGCATAATCCAGCAGGAAGACAAGCGACTTGTCATAGATGAAAACATCATGGCGCTGCCTTGTTGGTGGGAAGAGATGGAGCTGGGGAGCACTCCTCTGCTGGCACCGCCTTCTGTTCTGGGGTAAGAGTCCCTCAACACCCATTGTGGTAATACTACTGTCTCTCAGAATACTGCTCTGGGCTTTCTGCCACGTGGTCAGTCATGGTGAGATCATCTTAACAAAGTTGACGTGCTACCTCACATTTCAAATACTTCCCCAGTGGTAACTGTTTCCCCAGACACACAAGAAGGACCCTAGCTCAGGGGCAAAGCTCTATCCCTTTCTGCCTCTCCTGGGGAGCTCTATGTCTAACATATCTGGCAGGAAAATGTGGATAGAGGTCGGCAAAGAGCGAGCCATGACTAGCAACCAATCAAAACACGTGAGCCATGATGAGCAACCATTCAAAACACTCGGGATGCACTGTTTCAGGGACTCAGATCTGTTAGATACATTTATGATCTCTAAACCTGAAAGTCAAGAGACACTTCATAGATTTCCAGTAAAGGCAGAAGAAGCTGAGAGACCTGTGTAGCCGTCAGTCAACACTACAGACTTAAAATGAAACTCCTGTTCCATTTAAAAAGAAATTCAATTGGAGGATTGTGAAGAACTGAAATGAAATAATCTATAATGCAAAATTCAAACCAGAAGCTTTGGAATAGTTTGTAGTCACAAATGAAAACAAGCCAATGAAGGTGGTCTTGTTCACAACCAATGAGATCCAGAGAGCTGGCTTTAGCCGGGCACACAGTAACACATCTACAAGTTTTACACTTGAAGTGTCCTGGTCCTGAGTATTTACATTATCTAGATTTTTTTAAACCTTTCTCCTGAATTCTTACATTTTTTTTTCTCTCTCAAGAACCAGACAAGATCTCAGGTTGTAACTGGTTTGTTACTAGGAAACTTTAGTATTTGGACATGTATATAGGGTAATAACTTGGAGGAGCTAGGGATGTATCTCAGTGATATAGTATTTGCCTGCATTCATGAGCCATCACTCAGGCAAACAAACAAACAAACACACAAACAAGAAACTAGCTTGAAGACCAATTTCTAATCTTTGATATTTGAGTTTGATAGAGGACACAGTTGAAGCCAAATGCTACTGGGAACAGTACTACACCTGGTATGGGCTGAAAGATGATGTCAACAAAAGCAAGGTCATTAGACAGATGCCCCCCTCCACCCCCATCACTCCTAATCTGAAGAAAATATTCTACACATATGAGAAACTTTCAGGAATGGAAGGCACAAGAGACGGCAATTTATAATTCTCTTTCCTCTTACCTACACTACTATGGAGGCATAGCTAACTGTGATGGGGATTGCCAGCAAGCAAGCAAGCATATGAAGAATACCATGATGGGGATTGCCAGCAAGCCAGAATCTGAAGAATATGATGATGGGGATTTCCAGCAAGCCAGAATCTGAAGATACGGTGGGGATTACCAGCAAGCTAGACGCTGAAGACCATCATGATGGCTTCACAAGACTCCTTGTACTAGGGCCCCTGTGACTTGGTTTCCTTGTTTACATAACTGGGGACCTGAACTGGAATGGTGCAAGGATCCTTTTCCATGCAAAGGTCAAGTCAGGAAAAGGATTAATCTGTCACGGTGCTACGATTTCCTTTACTCAAAATGGAAATGGCCCTAAGCTGCATTCAGATTTACAGGGACTTTTCCCCCAGAATGAAAAGAAAATACTTATCAGAAACGCTGTGCTGTTCTTGAGCGGAGGGAAGACTAATATTCTAGAATGCTCTAGAGTGCCAAACTAAATCCTCCCTGAACTTCTAAGCTTCATCAGTAAAAATACTCCGGGAGGTGGAGGGTGGGGGGTGGGGGTGGGAATATATTATGTAGCTAGGAGCGGCCAACGCTTAGCTGTAGGATGGTAGAGACAAAGTTAAGCGCCAACAGGGGCCAAAGGAAGCCAGAAGCAGGGAGCTAGGAAGAGAGGGAGGGAGGGAAGGAGGGAGGGATAGAAAGAGGGAGGGAGGGAGGAGGGAGAAAGGGAAGGAAAGAGGGAGGAAGGCAGGGAGGGAAGGGAGGGAATTTCTTTAAAAATTCTGTTCATAAGTAGAGGGAGAGAAGATTCCAATCAAGTCCTCCATATTTCCTCCACAATATGCATCTCCTACACATGCTACTTGGACATAAGGATTGAGCTGAAGGCAGTTGAGACGAAATGGAAGAAAGAGTCCACACTCCTTACCCACTTGTCATTGATACAGATTTCCCATGCAGAAGGTACTTTTCACAGTGCCAGAGAGAGAAGATGGGATGACATCTTTTATGCTCGCTCCCTTCCACAACCAACTCAACAGTCCCCAGACACAGCATCCAAGGCCCTTTCTCTCCTGGCCTCCTTTTCTTGCCTTCATCCATCCAGAATCCTCTTCTCAGCCCCTTGTCCCAGTCACTAGTCACTCTGAATTGCCTGAACTCTCCATACTGGAGTTTACTCTACCTCCATATTGAGATGTTCTCCCTAAGGAAAGCCATGATCATTTGTAGCTGGATCCAAACTATCACCTGCATCTCCAGATCATTTCAGGACACCGCGAATCCAACACACCTATCTGCAGAGCATCTCAGCACATCTGAGCCATGAAAGCTCCCTCTCTTGTTTTTGCAGGGAAAAGCTCTTTGTTTCTTGAGGGCAATGGTGTTTTGAATATTCATTCATAATGTAATGACTGATGCCCTTGAATGTAAGTACTTTAAGGATCTGGATGGCTAGATTAGATCTTTCCTTTCTCTCAAGCTTTCTAATATATGTCTCCTATGCATATGGTGGCCAGTAAATAAATGCTCAGGTGATTTGCTGATTTACAGTCATTCATTCAAATATTCATTCAATAAAAGAATAAATTCTATTCATCCAGAAGTACTGCAAATGCCCCCAAATTTATCAGAAGTTTCTTCTGTATTTTCTACACCAACTTGGTGTCTTGAAAAGACACAGAAGATACAAAAACATGAAACACCAATTCTGTGAAATCTGCTCATGGCATGAAGCTATAGAGTTTGAAAATGACATTTCATAATATTGAGCAAATATCATGTAACCAACCATGGTCACAGTTCATAAAAGTGCAGCCTCATATTCTTCATGTTGAAAGATCAGCTTACAAGACTAGCTGGAGAAGGTGACTCCTGAGCCTAGGAGACTTAAGTTTTCATCTTTTTGCACAGAGGAGAGCTATAATTAGCTCAAGATTTTGCAGAACCATGAGCTGTAACTGTGGCAAGGCGTCCAACTCCTAATCCTTCAGCAGATTTAGCCAAGAATGTTTATTTTTGCACAGGCTACTTTTATAAAACACGTCTTTCAAGTAAACTTGCATCTACAAAATGCATATTTTATGTGTGTTCACATGCTAGGTTTCTTTACAAATATATACACTCCCATACACTAAGCAGTGTATAATTCCACATACTCACATCAGACACTTAAAAAGTCAGAATTCCTAGCAGATATCTCTATGATAAATACTGGATTATCTGATTCAAATAGCTCTTCTTGTGCTTTCCTGTGCCCAGACTCTGACATCGAACCATTCTATTAGTTTGAGAAACAATATGCATTCTATGGCAAGAACCACTGGCTTGGGAGTTTGGGGTAAAATAAATCTTATTTTCTTGACTTTGTGTCTGTTGCTGTCATTTTACTGCAGTACAGAGTTCTCTCAGATTACTTCTTAAGGGAAGAAAAGAAATAATTTCCCACTCAATTGCCAAAGGAACCATACGACTTAATCTGATCATTGTGTGGGAGAGAAAACCTTCCCAGTGACGCCATCTTCCTATGTCAATTAATTTTATTACAGATGTCGTCTCTCTGTGCTACATTAATGCAGATCTTTTTTTCCCCCCTGTATTTCAAGATCTTAATCTCTCAGTTTGTCTCTCTAACATTTTATTGGCTCAGAAATATACGCTGTAAGAATCCATGGCCATCAAATTTTCCCGTGGGCTAAAAATAACCCATTCCTGTCAGTTAGAATTAGCTGATAAAGAACGTCAGAGCCTGTTCTGAATAAATTTGATAACTTCCTGTTTATGTAGCAGTGACCCTTGTCTAATAAAGCTTTTTTGCCCTAGAATGAGAGGAGGCTCTGCTGTATTCTATTCCTTAATGGCCAATCCTGATTACTTCTGAAAGCCTTTAATACATTTCCCATATTAGACATGAACAGATGTCAGGTAGGTTGCCAAGGGAGATTTCTTTTATGCAATCTTGGCTTGTTGTACAATAATAGCCCTTTCTCAACATGGGAAAAAATTACAGACCCAACTAATTTCCCTGACAGGGGAGAGTTACATATGTTTTCCACTTGTAGTTTCTACGACAAGTTTACAGTTTTGCCAAACCTGGAACTAATTGGGACCGTTTCCAAAACTGGCCCAATAAACCCCCCAAAGTGTAAGAGCCATTGGGACAGGCAGCCAATGATAGCTTGCTTTTGAGTTTCCTCCATTTTGGCCAAGGACAGGGGGGCAGGGGTAGAGGGGTGTCAGATGGTGAAATTATTTCATTTAAGTTGCTTAAACACTTACTGTTTCATATCCTCCAAGTTTTTGAGCAGCTTGAAACATAGTCCAAAGGTTAACTGTTAGAGGGACAATAAGTATTTAGATAAGCATTGCATTAACACACTTCCAAGAAATGTCAATTCAAACATTTTGTTTTGTTTTTCAATGAGAAAGGGAAAGAAAAAAAAATATCAGCTGTACCCCAGAGACCTAAATTTCTAGGAAACAATTCACCCGAGGGGCACTTGACATTACAGGATCTACTACACTTAATACTTAAAAGTATTTCTTGAGAGATGGTTACAAGACCACAGAGACAGCTGAACTTTAAGGACAAACAGCATAATTTTGTTTGTACTATCATCCACAAAGGAAGAGAATACATTGGAAGGACCTTGGGGAACGTGTGGGAATTCAGAACTGGGTGAGTCTTGCTCAGTTCTCAGAAAGAAACCCTTGATGGTAATGCCTCCTTCAGATAAGATTTCTCTGGGATCAATCACCAGCCAGTCTTATACACGATTACCTTCTTGGACTGGTTGATAGCGAAGGTATATTAAAGGATCATGCTGTAGTTTTGCCAACACGTGGCTGGCACGTAGGTCACGTGCCAAGGCATGAGTAATACAGTAAGGGAAGACAATCATTCACAGAGAGACGGAGTCGCCCACTGAGCTCCCTAATTGTGTGATGCTAAGGGAAAAAATGTATCTTTTTTCTTAACAAATCCTGTGTGTAGAGTTTGCATGTGTATGCTGCCAAGCAGGACTACTCAGATAGGATTGAGATATTTGGTTGTTCATTTTGTACCAGATACCTTGGAATCTGAAAATACTGGACTTCAAGTAATCCTTTGGTCAGGGGAATGAACAAAATGGGGATCGAACAGAGAACAGCTCTTGGACACAACATGTTTGTGAAGCCACACTGAACTTCGTACTGTTTCAAGGCTATCAAGAGCCCTGCCTCGGCCTTGGTCTCCTCGGAATTGTTGATAATGGGACAGAGCTCTTCACAGAACATTGATTTTACTTCTATTTCAAGCAGCCAGTTTTCAGACATTGTAATCATCTGTCGTTATATAAGTTTATAATGGCTGCGAGTGTTCTCTTGCAATCAGTGCCAATTGCTATTAGCTATGTAAATTGTTATGTAAAACATACAGGTTTGACGGTCTTCATCAGAATGACACATGGTTTTAATCTAGGGAGATGCATTTGGAGAAAACACTATTTCAAGCCAGAGGGGCTCATGGCTTTGTGCACCAGTAAATCCAGACAGAGCAAGATACACATTTGGCTGTGAACTCGGGGGCAGGATCTGGATTTTCTTCTCTTTTTCAATGGAATTCTGCTCAAGCTATGAGTTTCTGCACTTGTACACACAAAAGCACCTAGATGCATAGCTAGCTCAAAGTTGCTCCAAACTGTGACTTCCCTTCAAGTGGGTTGATTTCATGTTTGCTATGAACTCAGATTTTAAAAACAAAACAAAACCAAAACAAAACCAAAACAAAACAAAACAAAAATCACAAGTGTAAGACTAAGGGAATGTTTTTTTCTTTGTGGCTGTTTTGTCCACTTTTAAACGTCTTCCTCTCAGAAGCTGTCTCTGAACAGGCAACATCTGGGCCTGATAAGGCTACATCATCATCATTATCTCATAAGAAAGGAGTTACAGACACTCCAGATTGACAAAACAGAAAACTAGGAGCTTCCAACACGTCTATTTCCAGGCAACATCCTCGGACTCCTGCCTATAAATATCTCTGCAATTGTCCCACAAGGCAACAATGAACCGGAAAGGGGCAGGGAGAAAATTCTTGGCTTGGACAATTTGTGGATCTACTATAAACAGAAAACACCCTGACTAGATTAGGATTTCAACATAATCACTAGTCCAAAAGAAAAAAAAAAAATTCTACTAACCCCCTCCCATCCCTTGCAAATTCAAAGAATCTGAGCAATTTCGATATTTCAGAAACAAAAACAAGTGTACTTACTCTGTTTGAAACCCAAGTAGGGAATTCGCTCTATGGGCGTTTTTCTTTCTTTCATGTATTTATAAAGTGCCACTAAGAAGGCTTGTTCGTCTGCCCTACATTCTTCTCCAATGGACAGCTTTGGCTTTTCTTCATTTGGGGCTTTTTTACAGTTGCTGTGGTTATTCTTCGGCTTGGTCAAGGCTGACCTGGCCTCGCCTTTCACCTGGAAGAAGAAGAATAACAGTACATCAAATCAAGCCTAGCCTTGGAAAACTTGTAAAGATATATCTAAGAGACAGCCAGGCAGGAGCACCAAAAGACAGCCTTGGGTAAGACTTGTCCTACATAATGGAGACGAAGTTCTGTAAAGGGCCATCTGGTAAACCTGGTGGGCTTTAGTGCCCTGTGGCCTTGAGGACAAGTACTCAAGTCTAGAATGGTGGGACTGATTGTCAATAAAACTTTTTTGAGAACCAGGTCTCCAGAGAGCCAAAGTGGGCCTGGTTGTGCCAGTGTCTTTTGTATACTTTACAGTACATTTGTGTCAAAACCAGAAACAGTGCTGATGTCCCTTAGGATGATTGATTTTGCCTCTTGATACATTTTATCTCCCCAAGGGGTGCCACTGTTAATGTCACTGATGAAACTTTGCTTTCATAATAATAACCTGATACTGTTTATATCATATTTAAAAAAAAAAAAAAACGAGAGACACATTTAGTTCTTATCCTCTTTCTAGACACCTGGAAGAGCTCTCCAAGCTGGGATGTACCAGCAAGGTCATTGTCCTGTGTTACCTGAGGGTGATGCCCGCACATAACCCGAGCAGTACACCTAAGAGCAGTCTTTAATGAGCACTTGGTGGTTTTTCCATCAGCCGAGAATATGATAGGAAATGTTCTCTTGCCAGAAACGAGAGAGTGGCGGGCAGCTAAAACCCCAAGTAGAACAAGTGGAAAGTGCCCCACCCCCACCCCAACGAAGACACAAATGGAGGTGGATGCGCCCCGGTTCTTCCTTCCACACCACAGGCAGGCTTTGGAACTTGGCTAACCTAATGTTCCCTCCTCGTGGCCATGTTGTACAGCAGCCTTTGATGGTTGTTAAATATAACGCTAAGTTGCTGAGTTATTTTAATTGTAAAAGGGGGAAGTACAAAGGGTCAGACTTAGAGTTCAAATGCACCCATGGGGAATGTGTACATTCCAATATTCTTTACATCTCCTGGCTGACATTGAGGGCAAATGCTGGGGAACGTGGTGAATAAAAATGTCCCATAGATTCTACACTGTTCTGCTTCAGACTTCTTGGCCTCCGCAGAGCCTTCTGAGCACTAAGCACATGAAAAGGGTTCTGTTTATTTATTAAAGGGGAACACATCCTCTCTAAGAGGGCTTTGTTATTGCTCATTCTCTCTAGTGAGTGCGCTGCTTTAATTTCTTTAGACTGGTCTCATAAAAAAAATTTCCTGGGGCTGCTGGAGAAGATTTTCATTTTTTAAGGGGCTGTGGAAATAGGATGAAAATATGTCTTTTTCCATGTAGAACTTTGACAATATTCTCAAACTTTTGCACTTTGTGGCATGATGGGAAGACAGACATCTTGTGACTCTTTTTTTTTTTTTTCCAAGACAGAGTTTCTCTGTGTAGTTTTGGTGCCTGTCCTGGATCTCGCTCTGTAGACCAGGCTGGCCTTGAACTCACAGAGATCCACCTGACTCTGCCTCCCGAGTGCTGGGACTAAAGGTGTGCGCCACCACTGCCCGGCTCATCTTGTGACCCTTAATGCCATCATCAACTTCCATTGCCAAGTTTTAGGTTGGTGGGTCTAAATTTATGTACTTCATAATTTATTGGCCCCTGAAATCATAAAAACCACCCTAGTTTTTGTCTGTATTGTCTGTATTTGTTTACACTGGTGCCCAAGTGCTGTTGGATCTCTGACTGACATTATTTCATTCTCTCCCTAGGAGAGATCTGATCTTGTTGATTAGTTAAGGTGAGCATGCTCGCCAGCAAGCCCCAGGGACCTGCTTGCTTCTCTCTGCCTCTCCAGCACTGGGGTTATAAGCACGTGCAACCACACCCAGCTTTGCTTTTTTTTTCTTTTTCTCCCCCCACAAACCCCAGCTGAGGACCGAACCCAGGGCCTTGCGCTTGCTAGGCAGGCGCGCTACCACTGAGCTAAATCCCCAACTCCAGCTTTGCTTTTTCTTTCTTTCTTCTTTCTTTCTTTCTTTCTTTCTTTCTTTCTTTCTTTCTTTCTTTCTTTCTTTCTTTCTTTCTTTCTTCCTTCCTTCCTTCCTTCCTTCCTTCCTTCCTTCCTTCCTTCCTTCCTTCCTTCCTTCCTTCCTTCCTTCCTTCCTTCCTTCTTTTTTAATATTTGTGTTCTCTGGATTGAACTACGGTCTTCACGTTTGCAAGGAAAGCATTTTAAGCAACTGAGCTAAATGCTCGTTCACATGTCTCATGACGTAGGTTGTTATTGTCATAAAAATGGAGCCACTGAGGCCCAGGCAGAATGAGTAACATGTTTACATATGATAAACTTAGTAATGACATTAGGCTGGGTAGTCCAAACAAACTTTCAGTTGAAAAGCACATCTATATTTCCAGGCATTGCAACATCTACTGCTGAGAAATGTGATTTATCAAGTCACACACAAAACAAAACTAGGTGGCTTTCAAGTCACAGAAGCTTCTTTTCCTCCGTTGTGCACCCAGCCAATAAAGAGAAAGAACCCTGTACCTATGCGGTGAGCTACACAACCTTGCTATGCTCCCATGGGCTGTGCCAGGCTCTACAGGCAGCTGGTTAGACCCATTTTACAGGAGAGAAAACAGAAGCTCACCAAGGCTGGAGATCTTGGTGCACAGCTACTGAGGTGTAAGTGCCCAAGTTTGGAACTCAGTTCTGCCTGCCTCCAAGCTTCAATCTCACATACAGGGGAGTAGAGCTAAGAGCTGTGTGTAAACCAGTCTGGAGGCTTAACTTTGCAGTGATAACAGACGAATTATCTCTGCTATAAGGACAGGAGCACCCTGGGTAGGGAACTCTGAGGTTTGCAGACAGGGAGGCGCTTAATCATCTGCTTGCATGTGTAGAGTAGAAATCCTAGAAACGGAAGAAAAGCACAGGGCTGAGGTGGCCCACCCTCCCTGCTCAGGACAAAGGCTCCAAGTGAGGCCACGCTGCCACCTGCTGAACTCCACCCTGCATTCCAGGGATTCCGCTAAGTGGATGGAGGATGTTCACCAAGAAGATAACAATTAATTGGGTGGTGGCCTGCATCTCAGACTAGCTCAGTGCACTTTTTCTCAATGTGAGTGAGCTTTTTGTTTCCTGGTAAGACTCGGTCAAGTTATTGTCTACATGTTTTCCCTCCATTTACTCAAAACATTCCCAGCAGTTTAATCTACCGGATTACTGTAATTCAACCATTCAAATGCAAATTGCAGGTAGTCTTCGTGCTGACCTTGAGAAAGCATGACCTTTAAAGCGTGGCAGTTAGTGTCCTGACCTGAGGGCTACATACCTGTTGAGCTCACTAAGAAGAGCTCTGGGGTTTTCAGAGTGATTGACAGCCTGCTAATTATAGAAGTGCCGTTTGATGTTCTCAATGAAGCTGTATACCTATTTGGTACTAACCACATTCTTCTACAGAACTGGGTTATCACTGCTCTCTCAATCAGCAGGTGTGGCCAGCTGTGGTGAAACAGCAAGGAACGGCTACCCTCAGCTTCTTGGTAAAATGAGAGTGATAATTCTTGGGGATAGTTCTGAGGACCAGCTGAGATGAATAACAGAGAAACTAATGCATGCATCATATTCCAACTTGAAATACCAAGGTTGTGATATAACAGAGGGACACACAGTGTAGCATACTTTGTCTTTCCATATTCCTTCCCATGGAAACCACCTGTTACATGTCTAGTCTTTAGAAAACGCTTAACACACACACACAACACACACACACACACATACACACACACACACACACACACACACACACACACACACACACACACACACACCCCAGCATTTACTTTCCATCACTGGAGGTCTTATCACTAGAGGTATAAGCCAGAAGACCTCTCTAGCATAGTTGATCAAGCCTTGGTCATGGATCTTATGTTGCAAATGGCCCCAGCAAGTGACAGGATCAGAGTTGATCTTAGTCACAACACCCTCCTAGAGCTGGGTGTCTTTCCTCCTCATGAGACACGTGTCTTCAGAAAGCCACATCATTCTCTCTCCCGGGGAAAAACAGTGTGTTCCAAAGATGCTGTTCTGTTCACACCTGAGAGAGTGAAACCTTTTGAAGGTGGTGGCATCACGACCCCAGAAAAACCAGTACATCCATGCTGGAAGTTCTGCTGTGTGGAGCTGCAGGAGGCTGGCACTTATCCACAGTTAGAAATGGTCTGTCTGAGGCACTTTTGAAAATACGCACAAGCAGTTCACCATCATGTAAAATATCGGTTCAGGTTCCGGAAATAAGCAGATGGTCATAGACCACCTTTACTGCAATGTTTCATGGCAAAATACAACTTTAAGACCCAAATGCCTTTTCAAATGGCTCTCACGGTCTTGAGTATGGTTTGTTACTCTTGCAGGATTTTTCCAGCCAAGTGTCAACAGATACACTCGCTACACTTGAAAATTAATTTTTCCCAGTTAGTGGCTTTCTCCAGGCGCATGTGAAGTATCCGTGGCAAGACTGTAATCCAAGACTCCAAGAGAAGTTAAGATCCTCCACCAGTGCCCATAGCACACGGATGTCAGAAGGATGGTCTGTCCCATGGTGACCATTTTCCGGGGGCAGCACTAGTGGGGGCGCGGGGTGAAGGAGAACCCAGGCTTGCCTGTCATCCCTTGTTTATAAAGAGAGCAAATCGGTGAGCATTTAACACAGTTCATGTGTTCAGTAGCTGTCTGTTTTTTTCTGTTTTGTGAGTCTTCATATGAATTTTGTAATTCCCACACATTAGTAGTCATTCCAAATAACAAGGGTCATCAGCACTTCATCCTGGCGGGCTCTGGTTTAGAATATCCTGGAAGAAGCACAGCATGGGTGCTGCATTTCCTGTTGAATGTTGACCATTATAAGATCTTGCTCCATCCATATTACCTTGCAGGACTCTCAGGCTTCATTTCAGAGAAACAATCAATTATGCTGCCATCATTCAAGGCCATAGACACCAAGACCCTGGTAGACAATTCCAGGGCTGAGATGCTCAGATCACAAGAAACTATCCTTCATGGTATCCATGTGTGTTCACGTGCAGAGGTTAAATGTGTAGGGGATAGACAACATCAGAAAATGATAGGCTTGTATTTAGCCAGAAAAATAAAAAAATACACTTCTGTAGATTGGCTTAAAAAAAAAGTATAACAAACCCTTTGAAATCTTGGGAGCATGACAAAATCCTAACCAAAGAGCCCTCAGAACGTTGTGGTAAGAGTCATACTTGAAGATAAGATTTATGGAATGTAAAAGTACACAGTTCACTTTGACACACTGGGAAGGGGGTAGAGGACACAGTACAACCCACAGCAGGCAGGCAATATGAAACTCAACCCATTCTTTCCTACGTCAGACCCTTCACCCGTGCTCAACATGCCCCCACACTTTGGGCTTTGAGCATTTGGATCTGGAAATGCTTTGCTAATTCCAATCTGATCTCTGAGTCCGATCTAGATGGATTCGAACTGTCTTTGGCCGAGAGACAACACGAAACACAAACACCCAAGAGCCAGAATGTAGAAATGTGACCCAAGCTCAAAAAGTCAAAAAGATAAGTCTAAGCATATGAAGTGACACTTCACTAAATACCTCAGGTACTTCAAAGATTCCAAAGAATGCTCATTCAAAAGGGGCCAACAGGCCTCACTAAAGGATAGCTTTTCCTTCTGCATCCAGAAAGATCTTTAACACCTCTATGAGTGTATGTGTACATATAAATAGTTTTCCATTTATCTCTAAGTCACTCTAATATGAATTAGAGGTGACTTTGGGGGAAAAAAACCATGACCAGAAAGATTAATTCTAGCCACTTCTAATTTCCTCCCCAGTTAATCTCTGAAGCATATTTAGATGTGTACACTCAGGGACAGGATGGTTCGGCTGGTCTATTTTTGATACGAGCAGAGTAAACTATGTCATTGTGTCATCTAGTATGAAATCTCAGCCTCAGTGACGCGGGCGCTTAATCATGTCCTTTACCCAACAAGCCAAACCTGGAGGTGGGAAGTCATTCTGTTGACTAATCAAAATGCCTGCCTCCTACCAGATTCTCCCCACCCCTAGCCACTAGGGAAGTGTCCGGTCCAGAAGCTGCTAACACCAAAGGTTCAATTCGATTCTGAATCGAACACAGCCGCTGAGACACCAGATATCGGAGAGGTCAAAGAGAGAAATCAAAAGAAACATCAGGCAGGAGGAGTCTCAGCTGACAGATGACGACGATGGACCGTACCTTGCTGATGGCTTTACCATCACAGTTATTGTTGGGGTCCTTCGAGCCACTGAAGGAATCTCTTCTCTGGGGACATGTTTTCTTTTTGCGTGGTCTGCCTTTAAGATTTGGCGCTGAAAAGAAATGGAGAATAATTGTCATATGTTCTCAGTACAAGATAAGGAAGGTTACTGTAAGGGCTCTGCTCCGACAACCGAGAGGCGCACATGTCAGCCACCAACTCTCACTGGATGCTGCTGTCTCTGAAGGGTGGAACCTTGGTAAATGCTAAGCTATCAACTTTCCCAAGTTGAATTAATATAAATAAAATGAGGATGACAAGGAAGACACGTGTCCCCTCCTACCTTCCCCCATCTCTGTGCTCCACTCCCCCCAACACCCCTGCATCCCACCCCCAGTACACACTGTCAGAATACAAGCACCCCTGGCTAGACTTGGAGAGAACTCCTTCTGTTTATTTGGTATCTTGTATTTTGAAATCCAAAATGATACGCCAGCCTGTGATGTCATCATGGTAAAGTAACATCTGAAAACATCACTCTTTCAGAAGAGTTTAGAGACAGCAGCTTTTTCTCAAATTACCATGCCAAGGAGAGAGAGAGGCAGCTGTGATGGGGGGCACTCACAGCAACGAGCTACTATTACATGCATTTCCCGATAATATTGTGGCCAGCGTGTCTCAGATCTCAGCAAATCTGGCAAAGACATTGAATCAGCATGTTCTCTTTTCCTCCTCAATATCTTTTTATGAAGATCTGGAGGGTTATTTAAAATAAATTCCAAAGCTTACACTGGGGTTAGCCTCACTCCTGTGGGGGTTGGTTTGTGTGTGCGTGTGCGTGTGTGAGAGTGTGTGTGTGTGTGATTAAAGCCATCGTTACAAACGACACAGGTGATAATGAACTTGGGCTGTTTGTGGGGTGCCCTGACTGCCCCCACCAACTCTCACGTTCAACTTCATCAGTCAGTCAAGTCCCGGGAATCTAAAACCAACCAACTCACTGAGCTGCCCATAAACCAACTCCAGACAAATGCCTTTTCCCCAAAAAACAATCTCTCTGGAGCTCTCAAAGCACCCACATTTTCGTTACTTAGAGGGACAGTTATGGAAAGAAATCATATCTGAACAGTAGGGAGCCCTTAATTATTATTCATCTCACATATACACACGAACACACAGAGGTACGCGCGTGTTCACACACACACACATTCAGCCAGTGGCTTTTGGACGTTTTATGTTGGGCTCAATTTACATACATACTTCCTACTAATTTGTTTTTCTGCCGCGGATATGAGCTTTACTGTCAGCAAAACTCAGTTAAGGCAACTCTCTATTTACCAAGTGGGGAGTGTGGGAGAAGAAGCAGTTTCTGGAAGCTCAGGACCCCTTCCCAAACTACAGTTCCCATCACCGTCTCCTTCCTTAAAACGTTGGTCTCAAAGTCCACCCCAGAAAACCTGCCTGGAATTATCAAATATAAAGTCACGAGCAAAAAAAAAAAAAACAAGCAAAGAGAAAAACAGACATTACCCATTCCAGTCGCCACACATCTGCCTGATTGACGCCTGTGCTTAGGAGAGCTCCGGCAGGGGACTGCTCCCCAGCCTCATCCCTGGAAGTCTGGACTTGATGTGGATATCAGCTTCCTAGCAGCGAGGAGGCTCAGCGCTGCTCACAGCTCCCCTCCCCCGGCAGCTCCATTACTCATGTAAACACACAGCAGTGACTAGCACGGGTGTGTGGGATGGGCTCTGAGCTCTGAGCACTTAGGGGGAGCTGCCAGACTGGCAGGGAAGGAAGGCTCTGCTCTCTCCTCCTCCCTGGCTCGGCTTGCTGACTGCACCCAGCTTGTTTGGTGGCTCCTGACCTCTGGCTCCTCGGTGGGAGCTCAGAGCCCAGTTCCGAGAACTTGCCACGGTCCACAGCCTGGAGCCAGGGCGTGGACTGTTTTGTTTAGAGGACTTTGTGTAGCTCGGAAGCTTTTCCACAATGACCCAAGTGCTGAGGCTTTAATGACTGCTGGGGTAGGATGGACTCTCAGGTCCCCTTATCAAAATAACAGCCCGGCAGCAGTGCACGGACAGGACTTGAGAGCGGAGTCCTGAGCGATCCCGTCAGCAGTCAGCAGCAACAGAACAATACGGCCTCTGTTCCCAGACTTGTCACTGTCGTCTCTACCCCCCCTCACATTTTTGAAAAGCACTTAAAACCTAAAAGGCATTTATTTCCAGAAAAACTTTCAAAGCTCGAAGGCCCTGTCTAAAGACAGAGCTTGCGCTGAACGTGGTGCTTTAAATAGCAGAGGTTCCAAGAATCTCTAAGAACCATCTCTAAACCGGGTCGATTTCCTTCATCTTTTAGGCTGTTTTCAGAAGCCAGAGACCCGGAAGGTTCAGAGAACCACACATGTAGAACAGAGGAGAGCCTAGCATCCTGATCACACAAGCCTAAATACAGTCTTGTGAAGAGGGGTCTTCGGTTCTTCATTGGTCAAGCGCTGGAATGTTCTAGGTATGCGCTGGCCAACCCAACATTGCTGAACATGCAAATGCAAATCCTTCTTTTTCTTTGTGCAGAAGTACTTGCACTATGTGTTGTGGTTTTTTTTTTTTTTTGGACGGGGTATTATTATACCTGACTAGGCCATCTTTAAGGGTAGGGCCATTGGATTTACCTCTCATCTGCATAACACTGGGGAGGTAGCCTTGTGTAACCTGAATTTGTTGAATGAACAAATGACTAATGGAAACACAAATGCCCACATACTCCTCACATCCTCACGAGAGGAACCTGCCAATCGGATCACGTGATACATGTGTCACCCTGGGAATTTTTAACACTTTACATCTGACGCTCTGGCAACATAAGCTAGTGGCCTGAGGTAACACTGGAGCAACAAAGACAAGCCCAAGGTTTGGGGCTCCTGATGACCATCAAACCACTGCCTTCACCATCGCCTTACCCCACATGTCACAGGGGCGGTGGCGGCGCATGAGAAACTGGCGACCAGTCCCCCCGTAATGCAACAGAAGACCTTTTGGGCTCTTAAAATCCCCAGTAGAGCTCTGTGATTGAGGCCCTTGGCAAATAACAAAGATTCTGGCTCCCGGGCTATGTCTGCTTTCCTCTATGGCAGAGAAAGACGTCATTCCCTAGACCAGTGATGACAAGTGAAGGCCCCATGCTGTAGTGGTCGAGGTGAAGTGGAACTTTGCATTTCATTCACTTACTCGAGAAACATCCCTCTACCTTCTAGCCATCCTGGAGACTATGTTTACTCTCTTCTGGAAGGCCGGTGTCAAAACCAAGATCCTGAGCCTCAACCTGGAGCGAGCCTCTGCTTAAGAGAAGAGTGACCTCTTGGGTCGAAGCATTGCTTTCTCCAGTTCCGCATAGAGCAAGTGACATTGTAAAGCTGTCCACATTATAGCTACTTTCACTTGTACGTTTAACTGGAATCCCAGCGTAGTCCTCCTGGGTCCTCAGAGTTCAGGAAGTGGCTTTGTTGTTGTTTGTTTGTTTCTTAAGGTTTTATTTTGATGCTGGAGAGAGTGCAAACTCCTCTTACGGAGGACCTACGTTCAGTCCTCAGCACCCACATCCAGTGGCCTACAGCCTCCTGTAACTCCAGCTCCAGGGGATCTGATGCCCTCTCCTGGCTTCTGAGGGACTTGCACTCCCTCACACACCTACACATAGGAGATCCTCTGGTGGATCAGCAAGACCTCTTAACCACTGAACCATCTCTCCAGCCCCTCAGTAATTGTGTTTTGTGTGAATGCCCTCAACATTACCTATGTTAAGACAATAGTGCCTCCTTCTTCCTTGGTACTTTCTGAGTGCCAGCCATGGCTATGCCCTCCAATAGTAACTCCTCTAAAACTCACAGCAAACCCAGAAGGTCAGCACCATTATCATCATCCCCATTCTACAGATCAGGAAACTGAGACAGAGGTGAAGTCAGCATTCTCAGATCACGCAAGTGATTATCAGCAACAGGATTGCTACCTGGGCAATTGCCGTTTTCCCAGGGTCCTAGTCTCTTTCCTAAGCTCTCTCTGTGTGCCCACACGTTCACACCACCTCTTAATGAGTACACAGATTAACCCCGACAGCAGTCGACAACAAGCTTTGGCCAGCCGAAAACAGCCCCAAACACTGTCTACTTCTGTGAGCCTAGCGTGCATCCAGCCTCTCATGGACCCACAGACAGCAGGGGCCCCTTCAGTTCTGACTAAGCAATGGGCGACAAGACTCCCATCCAACCCATGAAGACCAGTCAAATTTTGGTCAAAGTGTCAGGCCCATGTCCCCATTACAGTGGTGGTGGTGGGTTTCCGGCTGATGGGTGAGAGATCTCTGTGGTTGAAACAAACAACCAAAATCCTTTTCTTCTCCAATTGTCCATCTGTCCATCTTCCTCAGGGCCAATTAACGAGTGCTCATTTTGAGCAGCCCGCAGCTGCTTCTCCAGACATGAACCCCCTAAGAAGCAAGCTACCTCCATGTTTGGGGACACTCTGACATCGATTCCCTGCTAATGACATTGTTTCCTTTTGTGAACCGTTTCTTATCGGTGTAGGACAGTGTATCTTCATGACAGTAGAGTACAACAATTTATCCTTACTTTCTTTTTTCTTAAAAGGTCAGCTTACTCAAAATAATGAATGAATGAATGAATGAATGAATGAATGAATGAATGAATGAATGAATAAGAGCAGATGTTTGCAGGCAGTCGCTTCTGCTATGGGTTCAGACAAGTTATATATGGTCAGGCGGCTCAGGTGTGGGAGACTCATCTCAGCCCAGATTCTTAAAATAATAATAAAACAAATGATATGTAAGCAGTTCCTGGCAAGCTGGCAAAGCCAATAGCTTTTGGCTTAGACGTTGCTCCCCACCCCCCCACCCCCCCACCCCTGCTGCGTTCTTCCTCTCATGCCCATCTTTTTTTTTTTTTTTTTAATGTCCTTTATGTGCTCTTGGAGTCCCCCAAAGACAACGGGTCTAAAAGCTGGATTGATTCATCAGCAAGGCAACAACCCTTTCTTCCATTTTGCAGAGGGGCTTTTCCCCTGCTCCTCCCCCCATCCCCCCCAACCCCTACTCCCC